TAGGATTTACCCAGGTTCCACTTATATTCTTAATTGAACGATTGCAGTGAATCATCACTCCTAACAATCACTATTTGCTACAATCTACTGACCACAACTCATATCTAGATACACGTAAAATATGAAACATTAACAAAGTAAAAGTCTCAGTCATAAATATTGCCAGAAATAAAAGCTCAAACTAGTGGTTCTAGATTACGCACTCCAAGGAATACCGCAAGATCGCACAAAGACATAGAACAAGAAAAACACAAAGACTTATTTCAGGTTCCAAGATCTAGGTTCCACCTGGAACCTAGCTATGGGAACCAGTTTCCCAATTTTTGAAACTCAGAACCTACATTGCATACTATGAAACATGAAATCGGACCGATTCCCACCGGTCCGATTCTTGATTCTACTTTAGAACCATGTTTACCCCTAAAAAGAAGCAGCCTTTTTTTTATAAAAGTGAAAAATATATTGAAAGTACGAATTACTTAGTAGTGAACATTTATTGAAAAAGAAAGCATGAATGTAGCCTCCAGAGTCAAAGGGGCAACTAAAACCTAAGAAATAAAAGCAGTGATGACCACCGAACATTGGGATAAGGACACTAAGAGTGCCATAAATTTTATACGGCACATAACTTTTTTTTCGCTCACTTAAGTGCCACTTTCGGCAAAAAAAGATCACTTGAGTGCCACTTCCTGCGAAAATAAATCATTTGAGTGCCATTTCTGGCAAACCATCCTACGTGGATTTTTTTATTAATTTTCCATCCAACGTGGATTTTTTAAATGTTTTTTTATTTTATTTTTTTGAATTTTTCTTTTTCTTTTTTATTTTTCTTTTCCTTCTTTTTCCCTTTTTATTTTCAATGCCTGCAATGGTCACCGGCGACCCTTGCCGGCTGCGAAGGCCTCGCCCAAATTGGGCGACGACCACCTTACCTACGGCCGCGAAGGCCCTGGGTGAGGGCATCCCGGCCTCGCCGGCGATGGGCGAGGCCGCAAAGGCCGTCACCAGATCTGGGCGATCGCGAGCGAGGTGGCCTCGCCAGATCTGGCGAGAGCCTTCGCTGCCTCACTCACGGCCGCGACGCCCTCGCCCAAGGCCTTCGTGGCCGAGGGCAAGGCGGCCCTCACCCAATCTGGGCAAGGCCTTCGCAGCCGGCGAGGGTCGCCGGTGACCCTTGCCGGCATTGAAAAAAAAATTACAAAAAAAAAGGAAAAATAAAAATAAAATTCAAAAATTCAAAAAAAATATTAAAATATTGTTCACGTTAGCTCCGGCGAAGCCACGTAGGACAACCGAAGTTCACGTTGGATTTTCCAACTGCCAAATAGCATATGGCACTCAAGTGATCACTTTTTGCCGGAAGTGGCACTTAAGGGTGCGCATGGCAACCATTCTGTACCTGGAATCTGACTCTTGGCAGAAATGATTCTTTTTTATTCCGTGTCCGAAAATAATTTCTAAGCATTTGAAGGCGTTTGGTAATTACCCAAAATTTCGATTCTTAGAATAGAGAAAGAACATAAATGTGTTTGGTAACCAGACAAAATTTTATTTTATTAATAATATTTTAATAATATTTTGAATTTTTTAATATTTCTTTCTTTTTTTCTTTTTTTTTTCTTTCTTTCTCTTCTCTTCCTTGGCCAAGGCCAGTCGTCGGCGCCGGCGATCGGCCACAGGCCAGGGTCGACGAGGGTGTCGCGGCCCTCTCCGCCGCCCTCGCTGTAGCCACCCAGGCGACGGGCCTGGGTGGCGACGACGAGGTCAACCTCACCTTGGCTGGACGAGGCCTCGCCGTTGCGGCGGCAAGCCGCCCTCGCCGGCCACCGGTGAGGGCCGCGACGCCCTTGCCGGCCTTAGTCTATGACCAGCGGCGGTGGCCAGCGTCCGGCGGCGGTGGTCGGCCGGCGGCAGTGGTCGGCGGCGGTGGCCGGCAGGTGCGGGCGGCGGGCTAAAGAACAACAACAAATATAAATAAAAAAAAAGAAAAAAATCAAGAAGAATCAGTTCTAGAAAAATTGTTCCAGAATTAAGAAACTACTTTTTTTTGCTTCTTGATTCTGTTCCAAAACTGATTCTTGGAACAATTTTTTACAAAATTGTGCCCGGACAAAATAAATTTAACAAACGGATTTCTGTTCCCAAACTAATTCTGGGAACAAAAAAAACAGAAATTTTCACTATTTGGCAAGTTGCTAAACAGGCCCTAAGTGAGTAAAAAAAAAATTATGGCACTCAAGTGAGTGACGTACAAAAATTATGACACTTAGTGTCTTTATTCCCGACCATTTGAATGTTTACTTTTCCTTCGGTAAGAGCAATGTTTTCTCGTAGTGTTTTACAGCTCATCTGGAGTAATGCCTTCCTAGAATAGTTATACTGTATGATCCTTCCTTTTCTATCAAATTCATGAAATATTACTGGATGGGTTCGAGAAACACAATATATCCAAATTCAAAGTTCTTTTTTTTTTTTTGCTGTTTTATTTGGTTAGACATGTCCACACTCAAGTGCAAGCTCTGTTCTTCCCCTTACCAAGACTTTCTCAGCAATTTCAATCCATCTTCCGTGTCCCCTCCATCCAACCCTTTCGAAACACAGCTTCTATCTCATGTGTGGACCTCAAGCTTTCGGGTGACCCTGCAGGCCGAAAATCCAATAATAAAAAGAAAAAAAAAAGAGAAAAATTAAGAAAACTAAAAAAATTGAAAAAATCATCCACACAAGCATAGGTCATGCCACATAAGATAGCATATATATTTGAGTAGATCACGAATAGTAATTCGTTTTCACAAGTGTGCTCGTTTGTAATGTACGGTTCATCATGTCCAATTGATATATATGTTATGCCATTGTCATAAAATGCGGGAAGTTTATGATAATTCTTTTTTTCCTGTTGGGTACTTGAATACCTTGGAGTACTTGAACAATCTCATCAAATTATGACAGTTTCATCGTGACAACGCCATAACCCATAGATTATAGGCCAAAAAGCAATAAAAACCCTTACATTCTTCTCCTCTTTTCAATTTTATCACCACCTTTTTATATTATCAAAATAATTCCCCATGCCCTTTTGAAATCATATTGAATTTATCCAAAAAGTAAGCTACCTCAAACAATTGCCTTTTAATTATTATTTTTGCCCTTTCCAGCCTTAAATATTAGTAGAACTTGAATTAAGACTATTTCTAGAGAACGACCTAATTTTTCATTTTTTTTCTTCTTATAAAAAATTTCAAAATATCTTTAATAATTAAATAATGGCCAATGTGAAGCCAGATAAATATTATCCCTAGGCATCCGTTAAATTATTCTCCCTTAAACATTCTCCCTTGGGTAATAAAACCAGGTAAATCTTCGTTCTATATATTTAAATGGGTATTCTTCCTTTTCGCATAATTTCGGCAACAAGGAATAAAGAATATTTTTCTTAGAACAGTCTTGTTGCCAATCTTTTCTCTCCAAACGGTGTCAAAAGATTTGCCACAGAGTTGATGCAAATTGGAAGGATTGGGAATTATCATTGGGAAAACTACCAAAAAAGCCTAAACCTATTGCAATAGTGCCAATTCAAACATAAACCGTTCTTTTTATCAATTGAGTCCTAAACCTTTTGTATTTGTGCCAATTCAATCCATCCGGCCAATTTTGGCCGGCCGGCACTTACGTGTACGCCGTCCTATATGGCGCAGCCGGTGCTGAAGTGAAGAATTTTAATAATATTTTAATACTTTTTTTATTATTTTTTTGTTCTTTATTCTTTTCTTTTCTTTCTCTTTCTTTTTTTTTTCTTTCCTTCTTCCTCTGGCCGACGAGGTCGCTCTTGTCGGCCACTAGCGAAGCTCGACCACGCCATGGTTGGGTGAGATCAAGCCTTGCCATGGTTGGGCAAGTTTCGACCTTGCCATCACTGGGCGAGGGCAAGGTCTAAACCTCGCCAGTGACTGGCGAAAGGAAAGAAAAAGAAAAGAAAAGAAAAGAAAGAAATAAATAAATATCAAAAAATAGTAAAATATTATTAAAAATTGTCCACATCAGCGCCATGAACAGCGTCCATGTCAGCGTCAGCCAGCCAAAATTGGCCAGATGAACTAAATTGGCACAAATGTAAAAGGTTTAGGACTCAATTTGTTTTAAGATTGCATAGGCACAATTACAATAGGTTTAGGACTTTTTTGGTAATTTTTCCAATTGTCATTTGGCCAATAGTATAACCTTTGTAGCAAGAGGCCTATAAGAGATACTACAAGAATGTGGGAAATGACTACATGGACTCGATAAGTATTGGTCGGGTCAATTACATTCTTAGAGTATTGTTGGTTTCACGTAGGATTCACATAATCAATAGCTAAGTACACTTACTCTATCAGAGACAGAATTTTGTTTCCTCTTTGTTCCTTTCTTGATTGGTATGCCTAGACTGTTGCTATAAATTAGACACCATTGAATCTAGCTAAGGCAAGATGTAATTCGCCTTAAATAGTTATATTATTTGGAACTCTCAATTACATTTCATGCTTTATCACCTTAAAATGAACTCATATTACGTATTTACCACGTTGATATCGTGCCCTAGAAAGTAATGTTATTAATTCTAAGCTTAATTTACAAATTACCAATTGCTATGACAACTGTAAGCAGACATTTAAAAGTTGATCATACTTAATGCCAAAAATCTTCTTTTAAAGTTGATCATTCCGTAAGCAGACATTTTTTTTGTACAATTAATTTTGTATACTTGCTATTATTCTGGCTTTGTTAAGAAGAGAAACCAGTAAAACAGATGAGGAAAATAAAAAAGAATAAGCAACGACCAGAAAAATTGAAGAAAGGTCCAACAAAGTAAGCCAATTATGACTGGAGAAAACATTGGTAGGACAGTAATGACTCACTCTGAACTTCCACAGGAAGTTCACAGACTTGAGAAACAAGTCCAACGAATAAAATAAGCAGATAAAAAGAATATGGAAAGATGTGGAATTCGCAGAAAAGCCAGACAACATAACTTCGCAAGAAAGGTTGAGAAGAGTGCATCAGACGAAGCACGGGCAGGACTCCAACTCAAAGCAAGTGCAGTATAAATTCATCTCCTCACACAGGTTGAAAATCAAAGTTATCCCCCGGGATTCAGAGTTAAAGCCCCTGGAGGACTCGTCAATCATTACTTGAAGCTGAAAGAATGAGCTACATGTAGGTACCCAGATCACTCCTGGTTCCTGATCGAAACATACGGACAAGAGCCATGCACGAGTATCCCCTAAATGTCAATCGTCTTAAGTACAGTTCAGGAGGCCAGTTACATATGTTTATCTCGTTCACTTGATATCTCTGCTTTGCTTGGCTTTGCAGACTAATGTATAACTACCGATTTCCCTTGTCAAATTGTTTTTGCCGAGTATATATGAGTATACTTGATGCACACCAGTTGGCATCTATATACTGCTATGTACATCTCAGTTCTATGAGGATGTGTTGCTGCCTTTTTACATCTCAGTTCTATGAGGATGTGTTGCTGCCTTTTGCTACTTTTTACATATTATCAATTCATTTCGAATTCTTTTTTCAAATGCGTGCAGAGATATTGTCCTTGGCCTTTTGGAGGTGTACAAGATGAGAAGGCTGATAATTCGGACATTCCTAGTAGATTCAGCGACCTCATCTGAAGGCAGGTTAAGAAGGCGATCCACATCTCTTATAAAATCAACCCAATCCAAGTGACCGAAGACACTTGTGAAGCCGTATTAAACTTAAGTTCCTACGTGCTTATTGTGGATTCAGAAGAAGCTTTGCGTATCTGAAGTAAAATCTTCTTTCTCACTGAGAAGTCTTTTCATGTTATTTTACTCTTTATATCATATCAATATAAAACATCAATTGCTTGAAGATTGTTTGACCCAAATTACAGTACTTCTCCAACTCAGTTAAAATGGATACATTCCGGTATTCTCGGCAGTTTGATGATTTGCCTCCAGTACGTCTTATTTCCTACAATGAGCTTATGACCGCACACAAGCATCTCAGAGTTCTCAACATCGTTAAATGAAGGCCCCGGTGCAAAGGAACTACTGGAGAAAATAATTTAGATTCAATCTTTTAGTTTTAAGATCACGGCATTCCAAGGCCCTGGTCGTTAAACAGTTATATCTGTTCTTTGATTGATAGTCTTTTCTGTTTCTTTATTTTTTTTCTTCCTCTGTAATTCGCCACAACAGAATCTGCCAGGTTAACATTCTAGTACAATCAGGAGAGAACAAACGGGAATTGTAATCTTAGTTGTGGTACATCTGCTCATAACATGATTGGAGGTCCACTGAGTTTCTGTATTACCTAAAAAATGCTGGATGGTAAAAGTGCAAGCATTATGTGATGTTAGTAAGTCAAATCCAAAAGCTTAACCTTACAAGTGGAGGGAGACAACATGAAAATAAAAAGCATATAATACCCGTTGTCAAGCGATATGGGACAACAGTTCAACACTTAAATTTGTATCAAGCACGAGGGCTTATGCTCAAATCTCACTTGGTCCACGAGGTCAGAGGAATGTTTTCAGAGCCTGGCGGTTTATGCATCTTAAAGGCAGAGTTGCAAGTCATCTTAAAAAAATCCTGCCGTTTCGTTTAATCTGAACTTTAATCTATCAGCATCTTATAACAGGGAAACTGTAATGAAATGCACAAAAAAAGAAAAGAAGCATTCATTTTCCTTTGCTGTCGAAGATAAACGAGTTCTGGGCGTGATCCGCAAATCTAGGCTCGCAGCACAAACATTAGGGGAAAAGTGCCAGTTATCAATACCCTATGACCCATGGCGTCGAAATATCAATCATAGTTTAGAGTAATCTAAATTGAGAGGAGATGAAGCAAATTATCATGCAGCTCAGTATAAACCAAGGGAAGTTCTTTTTCTTTTTAACTAAACAAAGCACTAACAAAAATCCCAACTGTACGTAATTTATTGGTATATTGGCACATGAAGAGACCGCGCAGGGTGAACCATTGTTATTGAAATGAAAATGCGCACGTGCATGGACAGCCCTTATGTTAACTGACTTCTAGCAGGTTGATTCTAACTCAAATTCTCACTGTCATCAATGAAATGAAAAGAAAAGTCTTCTATTGTGATCAGAAGTAAGGAGCAGGACACATCACAGGAGCAAAATCCCAGAAATTTCCTGGATGTTGTCATTGTCATATGTGAAAGCAAAACAAACTTTTATTTAGTCAACAGTGTACCTTTCAGAATGAATAGAATCTTAAATTAGTTTAATGGGGTCCATCAGGACAAGGAAAAGCAGCCAAAGAAACCACCCCTATCAGCTATCGATCATGCTCAAGATTTTTCCAATTCCACCAACAAAAAGTTCGATAGCTTCTCAGAGAAGGGAAGACTTCAATAAAGACCCTCCCAAATGGTATTGTGTTGATGCACGCTTCTCTGCTTCCTCAAACTGAAGTGAGCTCGTTACTTCTACTTGTGTCTTGAGTGAAGAACAGAACGGAGAGAGATGGGAGCTGTGATAAACCCGCAGGATTTGCCGGTTGGATACAGATTCCATCCAACTGGCGAGGAATTCGTGAATCATTACTTGAAGAGGCGAGTCCTAGGATACGTAGACCATCCCTGCATAATTCCCGATGTCGACATCTGCGGGTGCGATCCTTGGGAATTACCGGAGAAGTTTCATGGTAAGAACAGATACAACCATCACTTTGCTTGCTCCTTTGATACAATTTCTCTGCAGCCATGATTGTCGGAAACTTATTACCTTACGTTTATGGGTTTGTGAAGTATAATATTTATCATCAATCAGGGAAAAGTCTGAGGGAATGTGCTGATGAGATGTGAATTTGGTAGTTTCTGGTGGTGCAGTGTCACCTTATGAGAAGCAGACAATTGTGAAATGCAAATACTTCGTTTTGCCAAAAAAAAAGATATACAAGTTCTTGATAACAAGAAATTAATGAGATTGACAGGTGAATCAATCATTGGCCTGGATGACCAAGTTCAGGAGTGGTGTTTCTTCAGTCCGCATGCACCCCAACAGGTTACAAGATCGACACCCTCTGGCTATTGGAAGAAGACAGGTATCGACCGGAAGGTCAAGGCCAGAGATACCAACAGAGAAATCGGTAGTAAGAAAACACTAGTATTCCACACAGGCCGAGGCAAGAAGGGCGTCAAGACCAACTGGGTCATCCATGAGTATCATCTACTCACCAATGATGTACTTAATCTATCCCTCCTTTATTCCTTATATTAATTAGATTCACAAGATACATGAATTTTGATAACATATCATATGAGAAGTATAGCTACAATAATATGCAGAAACACTCGATCAAAAGTTTCCATGAGTCCTAAGAAGCAAAGAAATATTTTCTTGCTCAGTTTCTACTGCAGAAGATTGAAATCTTATACATATTTAGAGAATGACATTCTTTTTGCCAAATATCTGAGCAGAAATTTACTTTTGAAGAAAAGATGATCTAATGATATGAACAAGTATGACGTGGTCTTTTGGCAGTTAAATAGAACTTATGTTCTGTGTCGCTTAAAGCATAAACGAGATGAGAAGGCTGATAATTCACCCATAGAAACAGAGCGTGGAGCCATTACCCTGGCAGATTTTGAATTGGATTCTGATCGCGAGGACTCATTTCCTGAGGTACGGAGGACAAAATATTCTGTTTATACACTAAATATCTGTCTTAACGAGCGCACGAAATGTGTTAATGGCTAATCTTTTACTCGTTAATACAGCCTTTGGTCCAAGCACAGATGAAGTCACTGATGGAGTCCTTATTTCAGCCCGAGAACCGAGTTGAATTTAATTCGGCTGACCTCCTGCGGCTGCTTCAGCCTGCGCTAGGATCACAGAATAATAGCTTCCCCTCCAACATAAATCAGCATACAAATGTTGAGAGTCCATCTGTTATGGACATATCATTGGACAATGGTCTTACTGATGAATCTATTCAATTAACGTTTGGAACAAGTGAAGAGGATGAAGATGTTGGAGACATGCAAATTGCAGATCTTGATTATGCCGACTTCCTCGATGGATACATCGAAACAGAGGTCAAAGTTCTTCACTTGAAAGTCATTTGGTTGCTGTGGTTACTTCTCTAGTATAGTTAGGTTTATTAAATAATTTCAAAATGCATTGGAAGGGCCCTTCCCTTTTCCAGGTTATCTGAAAAATAAGGATAATTTCCTTTCGATCATCTTTGTGTAGAATAGTAAGTTCATTATAGAACCTGTTTACGGAAAAAGAAAAGGGACTTTCATTTAAGTTACTCGTGCTTAATTGACTTTCAATTATATAAGAAGAACGGACAATTTAAAACCTAATCTTGAAGGTCTGTTATGAGATTAAGTTTATGCCTCTATTATTTCCTCTGATTCATTTTATCTCATGCAATCTGTCATTGCAGTATGGCCAAACATCTAACTCGCATAATGAACATCCTGTTCTAATGGAGAATCGGCGAGCACGAACAACCGACTCAGTCCACGGTTTTGTTCCTTTCGAGGAAAAGAAAGGCACGGTGGAGAATAAGTTCAACGGCTCACCTGTCGCCTCTGAGAAACCTATGCCGCGTCCTGTACCTATGGCGCCTCACAGACCTAGGGCACCTCCCGTACGACCGGCAAGTGTAAAAGGCTATGGCAAAGATGAAGAGCTGAGGTTCAAAAAGGTTAAGCAGGAATATGCGGCCATAAAAATCAAATCAGAACGCATATCTCTGGATGAAACAGCAGCCAGAGCAAAGGTGAAAGCAGCTCCTAAACTTAACCCACTATCTTATTGCTATTCTTATATGTTGACGTGCATTGCTTGTAGTTAATTAGACGATGGGATTCCGAGTTTTACTGCAGTGAACTATATATTGGATTCTAGCATTCTTCTACCAAAAGGAAGCGAAATTTCACTCCAAATTTCTCATGCTTTATCAACTTTGATTCAAATAATAAGAAGAATGGTGAAGAGCTACAAAGCAAAAAATATATTTAAAAAAAATTGCAGATTAGATATTGAACAAGGTAATAGGAGATGACTAAAAGGCTAATTATGTAATTAGAGCTTCCCGACAATTTGAGAACAAAAACATGAATGCTTGTCGAGAGATGCAAATAATGCCTCAGTTATCTCCGTTGATCCATTTGATATTGTGCAATGCTTTTTTGCAGTATGGCCAAGTATCTATAATGGATAATTGGCGAACACAAACAATTGAACAGACTAAAGAAATTTCTTCATTTTCAAGTTTCCTGTTAATCGTGTCTTTCTTTTTCCCTGTCAGCTCACCATTTGAAACACTATACATTGGCAGGCACTAGGATACAAAGAGCGCGTTTCAGCCAGTGGTTCACCCAAGAAGGCAAACAGCAAGGAGATTGAAAATGCCAGAGAGAAATCAAATTCAGTAACTGCGTCATCTTCTGGAGCACCCACCAGGAGCACAAAAAGTTCCATAGATCCTCCACTGCCCAATCTTGTGAACGTGCTCGTCGGGATTTTCCTGTTTCTTGCCATCACTTGCCAAGTACTTAATTTCTGATTTTCACTGCTATTTTTCCCCGAGTCCGACGCAGCATGATTGACAAGTACAGTTGTAAAAGAGGGTTTTATATGCCGTGTCACAATTCATGTGCATGTAGCTCGTCTTCTTTCTGATGCTAATGCTTTGCACTTCTTTTTGCTTTGGCGGAATTAGAAGATCTACCTGGATGTGCAACGGCTCTGAAATTTTACTTTCTTCTTTCTCTGCTGTATAATGCGAAGAATCAAAAAGTTGCCACAGTGTATGTTTCCTTTAAAAGTCAGCTTGCATTCCATTGTTCCGTGTCTTTCTGTAGTTTATCAGACTCATTGAAGGATCAATCCATTGAAATTGGTTGTTTCTGAAGGCACGGTCCATGGACTTAACATGCAAACTAATCAGTCCTCATAGGACAAAGCCCGCTTTATAAGAAGGTAAGATCTGTATCTGTATGTTCAGGACAAATAGAAGTTTTTGTCTTTTTGCAAAATGAAACAATAGCAGTCAGTGGTAGCTCTGAGACTTCCTAGAATTACATACATGTACTCAGGACACAAGGAACAAACAAACGAGGACCGAGAATACATTCGAACCAACACTGAATGCTAAGAGCGAGGACCCTCTCTCTCTCTCTCTCTCTCTCTCTCTCTCTCTCTCTCTCTCTCTCTCACACACACACACACACACACACACACAAGCCATGTAAGACAATTTGTCACGCCAGTACAGCATTGTAGCGCTGTTACTTATGCCCATTGACGATAAATATTGATGGAACAGATTGAGTGACTCGATTGCGCAAGGAAGAAGATGAACAGACAGTGTTGACGGGACAGTGCAAGTTGGAGACCGTAATTAGGCTTGACCGGACACCGCTCTAGTTTTGACCAAATTACTCTGACACTCGCTGCATTTTCACAAACCAGCAGGGCCATGTTGGACTAATCAGCAGGAGAGAGAAGAGAAAAGAATCCCACAGAAGTACCAACTTTTTCTCCTTTTTTCCTGCAGAATGAACCCACAAGAGGACTCTGTCCGCCACATACGGGGATAGAGAGAGAGAGAGAAAAAAGTTAAGAGTGAGGACATTCACAAGACTAAAAGATGATGACAAAGGCCATAAAACTTAGGTCTCGATGCTCTCGGAGATCGGGTTCTTTTCTCATACCACGGTGCGTGTGGGTACCTCAAAATCTAAGGGGCGGAGCACAAGCCTCAAGCGTCGGCGGCGCTCGGAGTTTTTCTAAGGAGACACCACGAGGCATGTGACTACCTGAATATCCTATGGTGCGGACCACTAACCTTAGGTCTCGATGGTCTCGAAGCTCGAGCTTGTCTTTCTATGACTTGATGCATGTTTAGAATGCACTGAAGGAGAGCTTCAGATATCGAAAATGCGCTTAACAATGCTTCACGGAGCATTGAAATCCCTGAAGCGAGGACCCCGGTCTTCAGGTGCTCAAGTTTTCCAAGCTCGAGTTCCACATAAAAAAAAATAAAAAAAAAGAGTTTCACCGATGTCTTTAGCTATCATATTCACGTTATCTTTAGCCATCCATATTGCATCATGATGTTTGGTAGTCATTTAGTGTCATTTTGCCAAAAGCCATCATTTATCTTTGGAAAAAAGAATATTTCCAAATCCTTTTTCAAAGAGATACAGTGTTGGCCAAGGGTGCTCGATTCCCGGGTTGGTCGGTCCTTGACCTGGAATCGGGATCCGTTATTATGCTCCCTATTCCGGTCTGGTTCTTGAGAACCGAGACTAAGCACGGCTATCTTGTTCTCTAAATGGTTTGAAAGTAAAAGAGACGGCATATCTTTTTCCTTATTAGAATGACTAAAAGTGGAAAAAAAAAAAAAAAGAGCCCAAGCGCGGAATGCTAATTCGAACGTTGTTTTGACAATTAATTATAATTCGGTACCACCTCTTTTTTTTTTTTTTTCGAAAAGTTAGGTCGTGTTTTGCTTGGTCCCGCGATGGTGCTGGAGGTGTCCAATGTTCCTTTCGAAGCGTTGTATACGTCTTGGGGTGGCTTGACATTGTGGAGATGACTGAGAATCAATGGGAACGGGGTTATAAAAGAAGGCAAGCACACAAGCGGATTATTAATTAAACCCGGGATTTGGTAACTTCTTTTTTTATAAAATAAGATTTGATAGAGTAAAGTAGACTTGCTTAATTTGCCATTATATTTTACTAATTGAAAAAAAAACACTAAAAGGACACATCCCAATTTCGAGGTGTCACCAAAAACAATAATTTTTAGATTAATTTGCAATTTTGGGTTTCTTTTTTCTTATTTTGATTATATCATTCTTATATTATAAATTGGAATAAAAACAATTACGAATATGCCGTAGCAGGGGCGAACATGGTTCCAGGGTAAATACTAAAATCGGAGAGCCGGACCTGTGGGAACCTGTTTTGACGCGTAAATTCAAGAATCTAGGTAGGTGGAACTTAAAATCTGGAACAAGTTTTTGTATATTTTTTTTGTTTATATATTTGCGTGATCATGTAATATTCCATGACGTCCGATGACGAGTGTATAGTCTGAAAATGAGTGTATAGTTTGAAATCACTAGTCCGAGCTATCATTTTATGACCGAGACTTTTACCTAGTTAATGTTTCATATTCTCCGTGCATCTAGATATAAGTTGTGATCAGTGGATTGTAACAACAAATATTTGTCATTAAAAATGATGATTCACTGTCGTTCAATCAATAATAATACAGATAATACTTAGGTTAGTCCCTCTAAGCGACCCTAAAACCTTTGAAATGGTAAGTTCTAGGTTTTAGGATATGCAAAAACAAGCAACCTTTTCGAGCGGATAGATTTCATGTTTGATATGAAACATGTACGAAACTTGAAACTACTCACTCCTATACAGTAGAAGGGTAAGACGTTACCCCGTGTAAGTATCATCACATTGCTGACGTGGCGCCATTTGAATCGAATATTTTCTCGTCCACGCTCCACAAAAATCAACCGCTTCTCGAAACATCCCGCCCCCACGTGTCGTTTAAACGTTTGCCCGGGAGGTCCTGGGTCGTTTCGTGCGACGCACGACACGACGCCGCGACGTCGTTTCGCGTCGTCTCCCGATCCAAAACACGTATTCCGATTTTTTTTTTTCCTTTTTTTTTTGGCGAGATAAAAGGCCTGACAAAAAGCGACAAAAGGCATATGCCGTCCCGCTTCGCCTCGGATCTCCCCACACCTTAACCGCGGTCCGATCCCGACCCAACCCCGGTTAGTCCCTCCCCCGTTCGGATCGCGACGCGTGTCCCCCAAATCGGACGGTCGCCCCGCCTCCCCCCAGATATCGACCTCGCCGACCCCCTCTATATAGCCCGTCGTCATCTTCCTCCCCATTTCCCCAGAAAACCCTAATATTTTCTCGCTCAGAATTTTCCCGAGAAAAAACCAGGAACCAGCCAAGAGAGAGAAGAAGAAAAGGGCTGATGGGGAACCCGAAGGTGTTCTTCGACATGACGATCGGCGGCCAGCCGGCGGGCCGGATCGTGATGGAGCTCTACGCCGACGTGGTGCCGCGCACGGCGGAGAACTTCCGCGCGCTCTGCACCGGCGAGAAGGGCGCCGGCCGCTCCGGGAAGCCGCTCCACTACAAGGGGTCGTCCTTCCACCGGGTGATCCCGGGGTTCATGTGCCAGGGCGGGGACTTCACCGCCGGGAACGGGACCGGCGGCGAGTCGATCTACGGCTCCAAGTTCGCGGACGAGAACTTCGTGAAGAAGCACACCGGCCCGGGGATCCTGTCCATGGCGAACGCCGGCCCGGGGACCAACGGCTCCCAGTTCTTCATCTGCACCGCCAAGACCGAGTGGCTCGACGGCAAGCACGTCGTGTTCGGGCAGATCGTGGAGGGGATGGACGTGGTGAAGGCCGTGGAGAAGGTGGGGTCCAGCTCCGGCCGGTGCTCGAAGCCCGTCGTCGTCGCCGACTGCGGCCAGCTCTCCTAGATCGGCCGGGCGGCCCGTCATCGGTCGCCGGGTCCCCCCTTCGGCGTCGCCGATGAATCTATGTGGTGTCTTTGTTAAGGGTTTCTTGTTTTTCGGCTTTTAGCTTGTGTGGGGGTTTGTTCGGCCAATCTGGTTATGGTCGCTCTCGATCGTTCGGTGGTGTTTGTGCGTCGTTAACTGCTGAAAAAATAAGATATGAGCTTTTCCTGAATCGACCCTTTTCCTCATCTCCTGTTGCTTTCTTGGTTTTCGTCGTGGCAAGTCGTCTGCAATTCTTGTTCTGCGTCTCTTCAATTCGAAACGTGGAAATATGAAGGGGGGGGGGCGCGGGACTCGATCTGGTGAGGGGGGTAGAAGAGCTTTTCTTGAATCGACCCTTTTCCTATCGCCTGTTGCTTTCTTGGTTTTCTTGGTGTTCTTGGGTTTCGTTCTGGCAAATTTTCTGCAATCCTTTGATCTGCGTTTCTGCAATTCGAAACGTGGAAATGTGGGGGTAGATGATGAGGTGCGCTTGGGCTCGGCTCTGGCGTTGACCTGGGGGGCGTGGTGTGGTGTGGTGTCGTGTCGTGTTCTTGGATCGATCTTGACGGAGATGAATCTAGCGGCTTGAGGGCAGGTTCTTGGAAACTTACTGGTAGGAGAAAGGAAGGAGTGGGATAGGGATAATTATAATAATAATATTATTAATTTGATTGATTGGGGTGGTGGGGCCCACTGCTGGGATTGATTTGACCTAAACTCGCGGCGAATTGAACTCTGAGCGAGCGAGCGAGCGAGCGGCCGAGTCCCACTCGGCCGATTCCGAGGAAAAGTGATGAGAGAAGAACGGTTGTGTAATTCTGACCCCAAAAAAAAAAAGAAATGAAAGAAGAAGGATTGTGTAATTATTACGAGTTGGAGAAAAAATTGGAAAGATCTTTCGAGGCTTGAATAAAATTTCCAGCCAAAAAAGAGAAGAGAGAAAGGGTTTATTTGATCTGGTTAATTTTCATTAACGGCCGGATTATAGATTTGATTAGCAAAATTTCTTGTTTTGGGGAAATTTAGTTTTCTTCAATAACGAATACTTGTAATAATGGCCAGATTATTATAAGTATTCGTTAATAAAATCCTGTTGATGAAACCTTTAAATTGAAAGGATGTATACATATAAAGCTGAAATTCGAAAAAAAAACTGATTCGTTTGTTCATAATTTTTTTTTAAAAAAATAATTAATTATATCGCTTGAAATAATTAATTCATGAAAAGTATTTTTATCATAAATAACAGTATATATTTAAATATTATTTTAGATAATAAAATTATTTTTCGTGATAATCAATTTTTTGAATTATTTATTTTTCATAAAAAGTAACGCGCACCTTTAATATCTGGAAGGATATTTGCTTTTGGAACTTAATGATTTGTGGGAAGGAAAGTACTTTGCTTTTTGCCGTGTCGTGAATCACGAGTGCGCCTTGACAGATGAAAGGGAAACGGCAACGATCTTGTACCGTTCCAACGAATGTGAGCCCTTCGATCGGGATGAGATTGATCTCGGCCGTTGAATTTAGTGCCAATTTCCATCCAATTATCCACTTCGGAAAAACTTTTGGGACTTTCATTCGCCCACGATCCTGACGTCCCAGATGACAAAATTTTGATTAGGATTAATAACACGAACAACCTCAAATTGATATATTTTTAATAAATTTATTTGAAAATAATTTTTTTACCATTAAAAATTATAAATTAGTACACTTATGATAAATTTACCGTCAATTATAATGAATTAATATAACGAAAAATCACAAATTGATAAATCTGTGACAAATGGAAGGGCACACCCGTGTCCTCCAACTCAGTCATTTGATAGTAAAATTTAACGGAAATTAATGAAGGGTAAATTTATCATAAGTGTGCAGGTTTGGAGTTTTTTGTGGTCGAAAAATTAGTTTAAGGTAATTTGTTACGGGTGTATTAGTTTGAAGTTTTCGTGGTATTAACCCCTTCTTTTATTTACTAATGCCCGTTTACAAATTCACATCTGTGGGGTTAACAAGAATAAAATGCCGTAGAATTTTGCGATGGTCCGTCGTAATCAGAAGAGAAAATGACATAAATGGTCCATAAATATTGATTCAATATGCAATGCTGTTTCTGAATTTTTAGTTTGTTTAATATAATCCTTGAAATTCAACCCAATTTCTGTGCAATGTCGTAAAAGTGATTTTTTTTGTTCTCATGACAATTACAAACAATTACAACGATCGTAACCTTAAAACAAATGTCGTAAAATTGAAAATCTTTTTCTTATGACGATTTATGAAGGTTTTACCAAGGTTCGTCGTCATTGAAAATAAAATGTCGTAAAAATAAAAAATTTCTTTCTTGCTATGATTTACAAAGGTTTGTGGTGATATATCCTAATCGAGAGTCATACGTTGTGAATTTGAAAAAAAATTTCCTCGCGAGGATTTATAAAGATTTAAGATGGTCAGTCTTAGTTATATTTTTTTCACGCATTCTAAAATTGGATTTTTTTTTCCTATGACGAATTAGAAAGGTTTACGGTGATTCCTCATAACCAAGAATAAAACATCGTGAAATTAAAATTCTTTTCCTGCGACGATTTAGAAGGTTCACGCGATGATCAATCGTAATCAAGAATAAAACGTCATAAGCACGATTTACAAAAGTTCGTTTAACCAACAATAAAACATCGTAAAACTCAAAAAAGAATTTCTTACAACAATCAACAAAGAATTTTAGAAAGTCCACCGTAACAAAGAACAAAACATCATAAAAATATAAAATCATTTTTCTCAAGTAGACTCGCAAATTTTTACGGCGGCCTGTCATAACAATCAAGAAATTGATAATTTTTTCAATACTCACGACAATTTACAAATGTTTATGACGATTCATAATAACCTTGAACAAAAACGTTGTAAACTTTTTTCCCCTTACGAAAATGGAGAAAGGTTTAAAATGATCCGCCGTAACCAATAACAAATTGTCGTGAAGTCGAAATTTCTTTTTTCCTTTCGACGATTTTAGGAGAGTTACAATGTCACCAAGAACAAAACATCATAAAATTGAAAGTTGTTTTCTTACAAATATTAATGTGAGATTTTGTAAGACCACTGTCAACGGTTCGAAAAGCTTAAGTTGTTAGATGAAAGCGTGATTTATTATTTAAATATTTTAACAATTAACGAAGGTTTATGAAGGTCCGTTTGAACTTTCAACCAAGAAGAAAATGTTGTAAAATTGATTTTTTTTTCTTACGACGATTTACAAAGGTTTATGAAGGATTATCAATAACCAAGAACAAAATATCGAAAACTGAAGTTTTTTATCTGATGACAGTTTACAATGATTTATAATGTTCGATCATAACCATGGATAAAATGTCATAAAATTGAAATTTTCTTTCTTATAATTTTTTGCAAATATTCATGATGGTTCATCATAATTTCGAACGTAATATTATATGGGGTTAATACCATGAAAAATCTCAAACTGGTACATCTGTAACAAATTTAGTCTAAACTAATTTTTTGACCACCAAAAATACTAAACTGGTACGCTTGTGATAAATTTACCCTATGTTAAATTGAATTAATACCCCGAAAAATAAACAAATCTATAAATCTGTGACAAACAAAGAGGTAAAAAACTCCAAACTGATACATCCGTCAACTTCTACGTGTCATCCAACTTAGCAATTTGATGGTAAAAATTTAACGGAAACTAACGGATGGTAAAATTGTCACAAGTGCACTAGTTTAGGGTTTTTCATGATAAAAAAATTAATTTTTGGTAAATTTATCACATGTATACCAGTTTGAGGTTTTCCGTGGTATTAACCCTTTAATAAAAACAGCTCAAACGGAGTCAATTTTGGTTTACACATGTTGAAGCTAAAGACAGCCCATTTACTAAACATGTCAAACGGATCAATACGGCTATGACACAAACATTTGTTATAAACCCAATCCCACTAATTTCGTCTAATGTCCGAGTCGTATTGTCGTGTGTCGCGTAAAAAGTTGTCACCCTTAATTGAATATATTACACCTGTCGAGTTTTTTTAATTCATTTGATAAAAATATCGTGTTTCAAGTATATTTAATTTATTTTGTAGACTATAGATGCAAAGAGTGTAACAACCAAGCAGGACGCGCTCAATAACATTCGAGATTACATGTCAATCCGTTCTTGAAGAGCCTGCCAAAGATATCTGTTCCAAATACTTGGCAGAAATCATGGTATATCGCAGTTCTGAAACCAAAGCCAAAATCGCTATTTGTTTTGCATTTGTTTCGTGAAAAATCTTATGTTAAACGAAGTCGTTTTACATGAAAACTATTGTGGTCGGAAAATGGTCGATTATGCCCCTGTCCGGTAAATTATATGAAAAATGGTAGGAATATAATCTTCCTTTATTTGGTTTTTTTCATATTAAAATATTTCCCTAAAATATAATTTCTCTACCTGACAAACAGAGCATAATTTCCTTGACAAAATAATAATAAAACAATTTCGATGGTACCCCATGGCCGTGATTCTAGCTTAGGGATGCGATCCGTGGATTATAAAAAGGTCGAATCACGTGCACCTACCAATCACATAGGCCATTAGCTTGGGGACATCGATCCCATCCAATCATATATAAAAGACAACTGGCGGATCCGTGGATGATAATCACGTGCTCTCTTTCTTATTTTTCATATTTGAAAATATATTTTTATTCAAAAATTAATATCTAACGTTATCTAATCAAATTGATGATTCACGCACCATACACCACGGTATCTATACAATTGAATTTGAGCGTAAACTCATTTTTTACGATGAATTCTTGTCATTCATTTAGATTATGTGGTGGTGACACAATCTTATTTGCTACGAACTACGTAAATTTATGCTAGGTCTAACGCACTCTATTGATGAAAAATTAACATTTTAAATTAGTCCGGAAAAATTCATTTTAGATTCCAAGAGAGCAATGTATAAAGCATTTTTTGAATTTTTGGACTATTTAAAATTTGCAACATGTCCTAAATAAACACAGACAAAATATCGAAGTAAAAAATATAATAAATAATAAAGGACGGCATTATTTCCACTCCATTTTGGTTAAGACACTTTTTTTTAAAAATTTGTGCAAAAAATCCTAAACTTATTATATGGCGGCCAATTCGGTCATAAATCTTTTAATTATACCAATATTAGTCATAATCATTTTGACAGCTTGCCAATTTAATCCTAAACCTTTTGATAATTTATCAATTTAGTCCTAAACATTTAAGTAATTTGCCAATTTAATCCTTAAAGTTAGGGATGTGCAAAAGAACTGGGAATCGCCCAGGACTGGACTGGACTGGCCTCTGGAATCGGTGGTTTCCGTGGGGACCAGTTCGGTTCCCAATTCTAATTTACTAGAACTGGTGAGAACCGGTCTGATTCTCGGTTCTAGGCGTAGAGCCGCCCACTAGGACTGGACCGGTAATATACATAATTTTTTTTAAAAATTTCAACAAAAAAAAAAGAAAACATTTTAAAAAAAATGAAAATCCTAAAATCCCTAATTTGAAGCTTAATGTTCATCAACTGAGTGCTCGTCTCGTATTCACTTTTACTTTGTCTGAGTCGTTTCTCTATCTCTCACTCATGGTCTCGATTCTCAAGCTCAACATCCATCAACCAACGGTCTTGACTCTTAACTCCCATCAACTCACAGTCGCACATGTGGCCGTTCATAGCCTCCCTCTTTCGCTTTTAGTCATGTCCATATACATGAAACTTGGTGAGACCGGTTCCTAGGTGGATCCATGGAACCAACAGGCGGTTCCCAATTTCAATTTTTTGGAATCGGTCCTTAGTGGGCAGTTCCCGGTCCCGTAGAGGGAACTACCCACCTGGACCATGCTCACCCCTACTTCTAGCCAATTTGGACAAAAAAAATTACTGATGTGGTGATTTAGTCAGTGCTAACCGTCTTACTTGACATGGCCGGTACTAAGGTGAACACTTTTTGCAATTTTTTATTTATTCTTTTTTTTTCCTTTCCTTTTCCTTTATTTTTTCTTTTCATTTTTCTTTTTCCCTTCTACCTTTCATCGAGCCTTGAGTTGGCCTCAGGCAAGGGTCGCCCTCGCTAGATCATTTGAGGGACACCATGCCTGTCCTAGCAAGGGTAGCCCTCGCTGGCCTCGAGCGAGGGTGGGCCTCACCTGAGTCCGGTGGGGGAGGCCCGATGACAACCAACGGAGGGAGAAAAGGAAAAGAAAAAAAGAAAATAAAAAGAAAGAAATTCATAAAATTAAAAACATTTGCAAATTTTATCCATGTCAGCGTTGGCCATGCCACTTAAGATGGCTGGTGCTGACTAGACTGCCACATCAGTGATTCCAACAAAAATTGGCTAGAATGACTAAATTGACAAATCGTTAAAATGTTAACAAATCATCAAAAGGTTTAAGACCAAATTGACATAATAGAAAAGGTTTATGATAAATTGGAATAATTGAAAGATTTAAGACTGAATAGGCTATCTTACAATAGGTTTAGGACTTTTTAGATAATTTTTCTCTCTTTTTTTCAGTTAACTGACCAAAATACCATTTTCTCTCTCTCTTCAATTTATTATTATTTTTATCATTTAACCTACAAAATGGCATTTAATTCTATCATCTCTTTGATCAGTTTCACAATATTAAATCACAAAAGCTACATAGAAGATTGGAAACTTATATTTATGGCAACTTATGAACACACAATTAATTGCCTATTTTTAATCAAATAATTTGAGCGAAAGTATATTCCAAAGTTGAAAATTAAATTTCAATCTAATTATCTAATTGATCTTAATCAAAATGGAAATAAATTGATCAAAATGTGAAAATGGTTAATTTGTTAGAAGCATCGTCACCCGTTAAACATGTTTATATTTAGATAATGTCTAAATATTATCAAAAGATAAGCACAAAAAGAAAAAAAGGGAACTTTTTGCTAATCTACTTCTACCAAGAAGGAAGTAATTAATATCGATTGCAGATTCAATCTCATTTTCAAAACTTTAAAATATGCTTAAAACTTTCCTCTAAAATAGTTTGATGTGAGTTTGAAAGCGAAGAAGGTGTAAATAGATTTTCAACCTTCATCTTACAATTCAGATTAAAATGTGAAGAGCTCAAATAGAGAGCACAAAATTAGCCATGTTTAAGTTTAAAAACATACAATTCAACCAAAAAAAACAACTATAAAAATATACAAACTTATTCTGGAAAAACAGCCACAAGGTCGAGATTGTCTAGATAATTTAGAAAGTAAAATTAACAAGGCAAAGTGATAACTCTTACTGTGTGTAATTGGGCATCTACATCGTGAAACCGATAAGATAGATGATAGAAATAAAATTAGTTTTGTAGGTTTACCCAATAAGAAAAAAATACTAAATTGATGATTGAGAATGGGGGATAATTGTCCAAAAAGTTCTTAACAAATTAAGTTCTAAACCTTTTTAATTGTACCAATCTAGTCTTAAGTATTTTTATCATATTTCAATTTAGTCATAAAATTTTTAACGATTTGTCAATATAGTCTTAAACCTTTTTGCAATTTGCCAATTTAGTCATCCCAACCAATTTTAATTGGAAATCGCTGACAAAACAGTCTAGTCAACCAGGCGTCCTATATGGCCTGACGGAGTTGACATGAACTTTTTTACAATTTTTTAATTTTTCTGAATTTTTTTCTAAATATTTTTCTTTTTCTTCTTTTATTTATTTATTTTACGTAACTCTAAGATGTGCGACCCTTGCCCATTGCAGGGGAGGGTCTCCGCGCCCTCACTGGCCACAAGCAAGGGTGTTATGCCCTCGCCCAAGTCTAGGCGAGGGCGACAACCCTTGCTTATTAGCTGGTGATAGCATTGCCCTCTCCTGTTGGCTAGTGAGGGCACAGAGGCTTTCGCTTGTGCTCGGTGATGGTCGCCCAACCCAGAGTTGCAGAAAAAAAAGAAAAGAAAAGAAAAGGAAAAAGAAAGAAGAAAGAAGAAAAGGAAAAGAAAAAACAACATTAAATTCAGAAAAATTTAATTTTTTAAAAAATTACAAAAAATTATTCATGTGAGTGTCATGCCACGTAGGATGGCCGACGCTGACTAAACTGCCGTGATGATTTAAGGCTAAAACTAGTTGGAATGATTAAGGGTCTGCATAGCAACGTTTCTGTTCCCAGAAACAATTTATGATCAGAAATAGTTTTTTCTATTTCTATTTCTTGGAACAGTTTCTGAGCAAAAAATAGTGTTTAGTAACTGCACAAAATTTCTATTCCTGGAATAGAAAAAGAATAGAAACACGTTTAGGGTGCGAATGATCCATTTTTATTCCATGGACGAGTTTCTCCCTTCTGAGCTACCGGCGGAGGACGGCGGGTGGCGGTGGGAGGCGGAGGACGGTGGTCGGTGGCGGCAGAGGATGGCGGCTGGCGGCAGGAGACAGTGGAGCACGACGGTCAGCGGCGGAGCACGATGCCATCGGGCGGCGATGACGGTAGCGGGGGGCGGCGGCGGGAGGTGGCTGGCTGCGGAGGGTGGCCATTGTCGGTCGATGGAGCACGGCGGCCGATGGCGAAGGATGGCGGTCGATGGTGGGTGACCGCCGGCGTCGGATGGCCAGGGGCGGGAGGTGGCCGGCTGCTGAGGGCAGCCAGCGCCGGGTGGTGGCTGGCGTCGGGCGGTGGAGCACAATGGCCGCGGCGGAGGATGGTGGCTGGTGGTGGGTGGCGCAGCGACGGAGGACGGCGGCCGGTGGTGGGTGATCGCCGCCGCGTCGGGTGGTTAGCGGGAGCGGCGGCAGCCGGGTGGCGGCCGGCGTAGGGCGATGGAGCACAGCGGCCAGCGGTGAAGGACGGCGGCCGGTGGCGGGTAGCGACAAGCGTCGAGCGGCGGAGGACAGTGGTCGACGACAAGAGGCGGTCGGGAGGCGGCCAGTGGCCGGGAGGCGACCGGCGAGCGGCAGCGAAAGGCGGGCGGTAGGTGGCGGCGAAGGACGGCGAGAGGCGGCGGTGGGCGGGTTGCGGCCTATGGATTGTTTCTTGTTTTTGGAGGATTCCAGAAAAAAAATCATTTCTTTTTTCTTGTTCCAGAAATAAGAAGCAGATTTTTTTTGCTTATTGTTTCTGTTCCAAATCTATTTCAGGAACACTTTTTTGTTCCAGAAACAAAAAAATAGATTTTTTTTGCTAAACGGATTTCTGTTCTTTTTCTGTTCTGGAGAACAAAAGAACAGAAAAATAAAGAAACAGAAACGTTACTAAACAGACCCTAAGTTGGCAAATTGTGAAAAGTTTTATGATTATATTGATAAATCATTAAACTGTTCAGGACAAAATTGACAAAATTGAAAGGTTTATGACTAAATTTGCAGGTCGTAAAAAACATTTAAGACTCAATTAGCACAATTTAAAGTTTATAACCGAATTGACAGCCGTACAATAAATTTATGACTTTTTGAATTAATTTTCTAGGAGAACGGTATTTCCCTTGTCTATATGAAAAAACGAGCGTTTCAATAAAAAATGGGGTTGGAAATAGGGCCGCCGCCGCCCGTCACAAGATTCCCATAATTCGACGGATCACATTAAACCGTGATGTAGCTACGGCGGTCGGCCTATCTCGCGGTCCGCGAACCAGCAAGTCCGTCGAGCCACACCACCGGAAGCTTCCGACGAGACGACGAGCTCCGCGCCTCGCCGAAGATCTCCCTCTCTCTCTTTGGCGACGGTGGAGATTCCATCCGCGCCGCGATTCTCTCCGGTCCTCGCCGCGCTTCCTCCCCCCGCGTCTCCGACGCGAGGCGCTTCATCCCGATCGACTGTGGAGTGATCGATCAAGCCGCATCCGAATCCCGGCGAGCTACACACCGACACGCTCGGAGGCGATCGCATGAGTACGCCGCGCCGCAGGTGGTGATGTCCGACAACACCAGGGGGCTCGTGCTGGCCGTGGCCTCGAGCGCGTTCATCGGAGCCAGCTTCATCCTGAAGAAGAAGGGCCTCAAGCGCGCCGGCGCCGCCGGTACTCGCGCAGGTCAGCTTCTCCTGCGCCGTTTTTAATGGCTCCGAGCTGGTTAGGAGTTCGGTTTCGTTGCTCGAGTTGTCGCGATTCTTTGGAGTGGCTCGGATTCTCTGTGTCGGTGGTCTCCTCCGGGTTTGTGTATCGATATTATGGAGTTTGGATTTGATCGAATCGAGTTTGAGGTCGATGTTTCGTACTTTTTAGTGGCACTGGAAGGAGAGTGTCCAAAAGAATTGTGCTTTTCTTGTAGATAAATGTCAGCTGAATTATGTTAGATACATAAATGAAAACGTTTATTGTTGCATACATTGCTTGCTTATCCAATAGATGTTTGCTTGTGGGTGTGTATCTGGATGTCATTGTTGCTGATTCCTTAGCAATTGCATGGTGCATCTTGTAAATAGAGCTTTTGAATCATTATTAGTTGGTTGGCATATTGCCCTGGGATCCCGGCATAATCCATCCCTGAACTTGGATATCTACAGATTCGATGAAATGATGTATTAGGACAGAGGTTTGGTTGTCTGTGTAATTGCGTGAGTATTTGGGAAAAAAAGCATTTACAAGACACGCTTTAAGGGTATGCAGGGGTCGTGATATTATCATTAAATTCGAGCAAGCTATAAGGTTGTGGCTCGTGAGATTTACTCATTACTCATTGACCACAGTGTGCAAAGAGAAGTTGTGGTATGAGTGTATGAATTTTACTTAAATGTTAATTTCACGATTTTTCATTCCACTAGCAAAGGCACTATTATATTTATGATTCCATTAAGCATGTTTTACAAAACTAGAAGTCAACTTAGCTGGAATAAACTGACTGTGGCACATACACAGTGATCTCGTATAATCTCGGGGTGATGTGCACAAGGTGTTAACGTCCTAAGTTCTAGTAGTCTTGCATGAGTGGAAGCTCTAGAAGGGCAAGATTCTTGTAGGCCAAAAATTGGGCTTTGCTTGCTTTGAATTCCCATCTGTAACTTTGATTAGCAGGTTTTCATTTACATAATATTTGCTATTGCATCAATAATTATATTAAGTGACCCTGAGTCCCTGTGATTATGCATTTCTGAATATCAAGGTCATTTCTGATATTCATCGGTTCTCTCTGATAATTTAGGGATTGGAGGATATACATACTTATTAGAGCCGCTTTGGTGGACAGGAATGGTCACAAGTAACTCTCTCTCTCTCTCTCTCTCTCTCTCTCTCTCTCTCCCCCTCTCTTACCCTCTTTCTATACAGATGTGGGCATGCCTCACATGTTAAGATAGGTAGGTCAAGCCTTTGATGCAGCTGAATGCTATACTAGCTCTGTAGATTTATTATATCCAAGCTTTCTACCGCCTCATCTGATATATATGCTTGCTTTCTTTGAATTTCACAATTGTACACTATCCCGAAGTTGGATCCACACCTCTCAATATTTGTCGAAGATTTCAGTTTCTCGATAAAGCTAAAGTAATCATCTACTCATAATTTTTCTTTCTGTTAATGGTTGGATCTGAAAATGAGGGACTTGATAAGCTCTTTGGTGTGTGGGAAGAATTGAAGCTTTCGTTCTTGCTTTACTTTATTTTTGGAAATTTAAGTGTTGAAGTCCCTGAAGAAATTTAATCTAAAATTGTATGAGCACCATAGGCTTTGCATCCTCGGGTGAGGGTTCTCTTTGCCATTGTTTCCTCAATTGTTTCATAGAAAATATCGGAATGAAAGTAGAGAACAACTATTTTTTGTAATTCCGCTTTTGACTTTTAGATTTTGGAAAATCAAAGACTATGAACTCCATGTTTACAGTTGACAAGCATTGATACTGGATATTTTTCCTTGCTGCATGTTTAATGGTGAAAGTGATTGTTGGAGAGGTTGCCAATTTTGTGGCTTACGTTTATGCTCCAGCTGTCCTGGTGACGCCTCTTGGTGCATTGAGTATAATAGTCAGGTGCGCAGGAAATTCAACCTCACTTCCGGTGCTTAGGCTGATTAGAAATAACTCTGCCTTCTAACCTGACAGCTTTTCTTGCAAATCTTGACAGTGCTTTTTTGGCGCACTTCATGTTGAAGGAACGGCTGCAAAAGATGGGCATCGTAGGATGTGTCTGTTGCATCGTTGGGTCAGTGGTGATTGTAATCCATGCTCCTCAAGAGCACACTCCAAGTTCAGTCCGAGAAATTTGGGATCTAGCTACGCAACCAGGTCTATTAGATTTGTCATATTCAGATTTTCTGGTTACAAAATTGACCTCATCTGAGAGAATCACTAATGAACCGTGCTTCCTGCTTCCATTAACAGCTTTTCTTATTTATGTCGGAGCAACAATATCTACGGTGTTAGCTTTGGTGTTGTATTTTGAACCTCACTATGGCCAGACAAACATACTTGTCTACTTGGGGATATGTTCTCTGATGGGTTCACTTACGGTAACCATCTCCCATGGAGTCATGAACTGGAAAACTCTCTGTAAATAAGAATAAGAATAAAAATCTCTATGTGCCCTTTGTTTTGTTACCAACTCATGGAGACATTTTCTGTGCATTTTTATAGGTTGTCAGCATAAAAGCTATTGGTATCGCGATAAAGCTTACTTTGGAGGGGATAAGTCAAATTGCTTATCCGCAGACTTGGTTCTTTGCTACAGTTGCTGCAGTTTGTGTCATCACTCAGTTGAACTACCTTAACAAGGTGAGTGTTGCATTTTCTAGTGGATAGCAGACCACCAAAAGTTTGTTTGCCTTTTAACTTGGTTCTATGCCTCTCCATGTCAATGCATTTGCCATCTTTACTCGTGATGATGATTCATGAGAATATGAGAAAAACACTTGCTTGCCTTCACTATGGAAATTTGAGGAAATGAAACATGTCACATTTATCAGGTTATTATACAAGTTATGCTTCAGCATGTTATGTGTTTTCACTTTCATTTACCAAGTGTCCATTGTTAAGAAGCTAGGTGATTATGGTTGGAGTAGGTCTACTGAGGATTGACCCATGATATCTGATGCCTAGTGCAACATTATTTGGCAGTGATCCATTGTTTTCTTGTTTGAGACAAAAGAAGTTTTGAGTATTTTAGGCTTTGTTCAGGTGAGAGGGGAGGGAGAAAAAATAGGAGGTGGGTATGGGAAGTTTGTAAAAATTTGAATTTTTTGTGAGAGTGAATTGGAGGGTAAGTCCAAAAGTTTCTTCACCCACCCACGATATCTTTTCCCTTCCTTCTCCCAAACAAAGGATTAATCTTTCCATTTAAGTTATTGAACTGGGCACTGCTGTCTGTTGCATGAAACAGGAGTGTAGTGCTTTTGTGCATGAAACTTGTAAATATACAAGTTGCAACTGCAACCGTTCAGCGCATTTTCCCGCACACAATTCGAATAACTTATCCACCATATTCTTGTTTATTTCTACAGCATTTTTGTTGTATATTTGAAGTCCTTGCAGATCTTAGTTTTCACTAGCGAAAAATCTCCAAACTGTTACCATAAATGTGGAAGGATTTTGTCAAGATTTAGAATTTAACCGACAAATGTCTGTTTAATCATGTTCTACCATCATAAATTTGCAGCAATGGTTTTAGTTTAATAATCTATATCGAAGCGTAAGAACTCCTGTCCAATATAAAATGACATGATGACTTGCCATCAATCAATCTATTCTTAGCCATCCATGTCCTTGCATAAGAGTTTCCTTTCTGTATGTCAGCCACCGTGTGTTGAAGTGTCATCAATCAATCTTAGCAGATTGTTGACCCCTAGGGATGACTCTGATGTCTCATTAGACAAACATGCTTGCTTGTGATTTTTCGTAAAGTTTGGTTTCTTAGATTTTAGAGTTTATGTTTACAGTTATCAAGGGGTGATCAATGTGAGACGTGGTGTAAGACTTACATGCTAATGATGTCTTCTTAGTGTTTCTTTAGGCATTAGACACATTCAATGCTGCCATCGTTTCACCAGTGTATTACGTGATGTTCACGACTCTGACGATTGTTGCTAGTGCAATAATGTTCAAGGTAAGTGAGTTACTTTCTCTAATGAGGTTTTCAGCCAGTTAGACTTCTGCTTTCAGTTTACTTGAGAACAGTGTGCTCAAGTTGCATTCTCTTTGCAGGATTGGTCAGGTCAGACTGCAAGCAGCATAGCATCTGAGATATGTGGATTCATCACTGTACTTTCAGGAACAATCATACTTCATTCAACAAGAGAACAGGAATCAGTTAATGCACGAGGTAAACTGTCTTTCGTATCTTTTCTTGCAAGAGTCTAATGCTGTCCGACAGGTCATACCTACTATGGAACATATACAACGTGTCAAAAAATCTTTTTCTCTCCATGGATGATGGCTTTGAATACCAAAGGAATACTATTATTCATATGAAAGTATCACCAATAGTATGCTTTACTGGGCTGTGATGCTTATTGGTGTGATTGACTATTTGGAAGCTATTTTATGCCTTAAAAGAGATATCTAATCATCAGAGTCCATTGAATTTTTGTAGGCACTGTGACGTGGTATGTTGGTGGGGATTCCGTAAAAAGTGTTGGGGAAGAACATCTAGTCACATTGAGCAATTCAGATTACTTGGAGCGTTGAGAATTTACATAGAACGAGCTCAAGAGAGACTTCTCCTTTGGTCATGGAAAGTTTTTTCGTTATTTGAACACTCCACCCAACGATTTTCACACTGTTGACGTGGTGAGAGTCTAGCGCTTTGCCAAGCAAAGCGTGAGGGAGCCAATTTGGCTGGTGTGCATCTCTGTTAGTTTCAGTTTGACGAGCCTTGCGCTGGGGTTTTGAATTGATGAATCCCCATTTTCTAAGCCATTGCACTGAAATCCGCACTGGATGTGCGAGCAGCGCCCCATCAACCCGGAGGTCCCAGACATGAAGAAGTTGGCAACAAAGCAAGTGTATTCTGTACATATATTTGCTGACATTTTCTTCAGTCAACCATTTTTTAGTGTTTACATGAGTTGTAAGTGAGCGCATAGTTTTCGTGCAGATTCAATGTCGATGAAGAAGTTTTGCTTCCAATAATGAGGATTGTCGCTTTGATCTCATTCTTTGTGCAAGCCCAAGTGTCTTTTGTCCCTTAACTTCTTGTTCCCCTGAAAGCTACTGGAGGGAAGTGCTTGCGTGAGAGTCGAGAGACTTGTAGATGGCTGACAGCGTTCCCCACACAGATGGGAAGTCTTGCAAACGGAAAGGTATCCATACTTGTAAGTCATGCTATTTCTCTTTGTACACACACATACAGAGGGAGAGAGAGTCGTCATTTTCCCAGCGGCATATCGGAAAATCTCCGCGATGGAGTTTCTCTTCAGCTGTTTTGGGTGAGAGAGATTGTGTTACTTTCCATCGAACGGCCTAGCATTGTAACCATCACGTCAGACTGGATCGGCTAATACGTAGGATAGCTGATACAGAAGCTCCAGCCATTGCAATTTGCATGCCTTAATCCAATCTAACCTGTTTTGTTGCTCTTTAATAGTTCCATACTGGACAGTCCAACACAACCCGCATACCCCCAAACATCACCTTAGTCGATGGTGGCCATAGGCAACGCAACAGCTTTTAGGTTTTTTTTTTTATGGTCATTATCGGAATTTCATCACTGCCTCGTCGCAATCAGCCTCGACAGCAAGGTTTTTCAAGCTAAATCCTAAATGATTTCATGTGAATGTGCTAGTGCATGAAATGCATACTACAGCCTATCCATTTTCCTTTTGGTTTTATGAGTGCATTGGATTCAATCTACCGCACCTTTTTAGGTGGGTCCGTCCTGACGTGCTAAACGATCAAAATGAATGGACCAGGAGCACATTCATTCTCAAGAAGATTTCAGGTACGGCGCGATTGTCTGTAGCGAATTCTATCGCTGATCTTGCACCTCTCATCGCGGCATTTCTTTTACAGGAAAAAAGTTGCATGACATAGAAAAGGTCCCTTTTTTGACCTTTAAAAATCATTATATGGTTTATCCGCGTGACTATTTCATGCTAGAAGATGGGAAAGAACTGGCTAGTTTCGTTGCTTTTCAGCAGGGAGACATCTGTGCAAATTTGCCATCAATGCCGTTCTCTTCTACCTTGACGGCCAGCTAATAGCTGCCAGTACCACCGTCACATGACCGCAGAACTGCGGCTGCGAACGTTCACACGTCTGAAAAGTTCTGATCGGCGAACCGTGCGTGCCAAGATTGTTAGGTGGGATGGAAATTTACTAGGGATGACTCGAAAATTCTGAACGTACTCAATCCACCTCACTCAAGTTTGGATTTGAATTTGAATTATTATGTTTGCACATTCCGAAATAACACATTACATCTCTTTTTTTCATCACGATATGGTACGCTAAATAGGGGTGAGCGGTTCCATATAGGTTCCACTTGAGACCTGTAACCTATTCGTGGAAATAAGTTTTTCATTTTTTGGAACCTGAAACATACTCTGCATACTTTGGAACCTGCAATTTACATGTTCCACAGTTGGTTTTAGGGTCTACCTGTATTATTAATTGAAAGATTACAGTGAATCATCACTTTTAATGAACACTATTTACTACTATAATTTACAGAACACAATTTATATTTAGACACACGAAAAGTAGGAAACATTAACAAAGTGAAAGTTTTAGTCATAAAATGAAAGCTCAGATTAGTGATTCCATATTATACACTCATCATCGGACACCATTAAATACCAAATGTTCTTGGAAAGACATAGACCAAGAAAAACACAAAAAACTTGTTTCAGGTTCAAGGTGTTAGGTTTTAGGTTCCACCTATTTAGAATCTGGAACCTACCGATTGAAACAGGTTTCCCAATTTTTGGAACCAGGAATCTATCCTGCATATCTTGGAACTTGGAACCGACAGGTTCTCACCGGTCCAGTTCTCAGGTTTTATGTTCTACCTTGAAATTATGCTCACCCCTAATGCTAAAGTGATTAGCGATGATTATCTTTTCGGGGTCAAATTAGATATGGGTTTGAATCACTATACTTCGAGGCAACTAAATAAGGACAAATGCCTCTGTTCTTCAACAATCAACCCTTGTGTGCCTACACTACTGAACACTTAGGCTTTGTTTATTTCGCGGAAAACGAATAATTTGTAAAATAATTTCCTAAAAATGATCGCTTGTATTTCTTAAAATAATTAGTCAAAGAAAAATGTTTTCACTACCTGCAACAATTTATGTTTACACATTTTGTAAACGATGATAATATTTTCTATTTATTCATTTTCATGAGTGATATAAATGATCATTTTTAGAAAAATATTTTTTAAATTAATTATTTTTGCGAAACAAATAGACCCATATATTGACTTTTTTGTCCGCGATATTGGTCGCATCATTTACGTTCTATTCTTGGTGGAACATTTATTTCAGTCCAGGGTACTCGCTGGGCTGAAGGATGAGAATTGAATCTTTGCGGCTTGCCGGGCCACACTTTTTGACTTTTCATCTATTTGCTAATAGTCTTAACTTTTACAGGCCATATCGATCTCGTATATTTAATTACCAAGTGACCCGAAGACACTTATTAAGCACGTAACTAAAGAAATCAATGCAATAAAAACCAAAGTATTTCCATAATAAATATGGTTAATGAGTGTGCACTGATGGCGCTTGTCAATACGACCTAATATTATTCGGCTGCATTTATTATGTACCATGTTACCAAAAGGAGTGCGATATGCAATTCTCGTTATTACTTTTTTTTTTTAAGTCGTAACTATGAAGTCCTAACTCAACTAACGTAATGGGTTGTAAGTATATAGTTAGCGTTCCTTCTGTATCAGAGATAACTACTGTCCTAGAGCGGTTACGCCATCGACAGATGAACCGACGGCACTCGCCATCTTTATGTTTTTTCTAGAATTAATTTCTCGAGGCGGGGTGCGGACGTTGCACTTGGTGCATGTTTGTTAGGGTACTGCTCCTCCTATTACTATACCCATTACCACTGTCTGGACTATCATTTCCCCTGTTTGGTTGAGTTGGTGAAGTCGATCAATGGTCCATACACCGTAAATGAGAACGATCTTATCTGGTTATATGCTCCAACATTCCTCCTCGAATCTAAGGATTCGGGGACAAAGTAAATTGGAGGCTCGGAGATTCTCGGGCAAAATGTACCAGAAAAGTCTTAAACTTATTGCATTGGTACCAATTCACTCTTAAACTTTTTAATTTGACTGATTTAGTTCTAAACCTTTTCACGTTTTGCCAATTAAGTCTATCCGATCAATTTAGGCCCAAAATTGCTTACGTGGACGCCGAATGTCCTATGTGGCACTGCTGGCGTTGACGTAGACTTTTTTTTTAAAATATTTTTTCGAAATTTTTAATTTTTCTTTTCTTTTCTTTTCCTTCTTTTCTTTTTTCAATTTCCACTGTGGCTAGCGAAGGTCGCTGGAGTTCGCCAGCCATTGGGCGAGGGCCGCGAAGCCCTCACTGGCATCGTGACCCTCGCCCGGCCTCGCCCAGGCGTCAGAGAGGCACAGGCGGCCGTGGATGAGGTCAGCAAGGCTTTGCGGCCCTCACCTAGTTGGCGATGAACTCCGGTGCCTCACCGGTCACAGTGGAAAAAAAAAAAGAAAAGAAGGAAAAGAGAAGAAAAAAGAAAAGGAATAAAAAAGTTGAAAAATATTTAAAATCTTTAAAAAATTATTCACATCAGCGCCAGAGTACGGCCAACATCCATGATAGCAATTGCCGATCTAAATAGTTGGATGGACTCAATTATCAAAGCGTGAAAATATTTAGGACTAAATTGATCAAATTGAAAAGTTTATAACCGAATTGATATTAATGAAATATGTTTAGGACTTTTTGATACTTTTCCCGAGATTCTCCGTACCGCAGTTGCTTGTTCTCAATACCATGTAAGACCGGTACGATCATTGTCCCTTAATCACATTTGCAATAACCTTTTGTTTTCGATAAAGCTAATGAGGAGAAGAAGAAAAACGAAAACTAGAAGACAATCATTCTCATGCCTGACCATCAAATTCACTCCCCGTGGGCAGATAATTGCTGAAAGAATCCTAGATGATGTGCTTGATTTCACGATCGGGCATTTTCGTAGGAGCCATAGGAGCATCCTTTAATGAAAGTGTAGTTTAATATTTAGAAAAATTGTCCAAAAAGTCTAAAATCTATTGCACTGTGTCAATTCAGTCTTAAACTTTTCAATTGAGTCCTAAACATTTTAACGATTTGCAAATTGAGTCAATCTGGCCAATTTTAATCGGAAATCGCTAACGTGAACGCCGATACTGCCATTGGTAATGCCACGTAAGACGACCGGCGCTGACGTGAATAATTATTTCTAATTTTTTAAAAAAATAAAATTTTTTTTTTTCTTTGTCTCTTTCTCTTTTTTTTTTTTTTTCTGTTTATCAAGTTCAACAAGGGTCACCGGTTGAACCTTGCTAGTCACAGGCAAGGGACGGCCGACCCTTGCCGACCACAGGCGAGGGCCGGCGACCCTCACTGGCCACTGGGCGAGAGCCAACCCTCGCCGGGGCTTGGAAGAAAATAAAGAAAAAGAAAAAGAAATTCAAAAATTTTAAAAATATTAAAATATTATTAAAAGCTGTTCATGCTAGCGTTGATCGTGCCAAGTAGGATGGCTGATGTCTACGTCAGTAATTTCTTGTTAAAGTTGGTCAGATGGTTTCAATTGACCAAAAAAGGTTTACGACTCAATTGATAAAAAAAAGCTTATAACTTAATTGACACAATTATTATAGGTTTTGGATTTTTTTGGTAATATTCCCCACTTCGTAGGGCTCATATGATCAATAATTGAGATGGTTTGGATTTAAGTGGTTCATAGATCATATAATATTTTTTTGCAACGGTAGTTTGATGAAGCAGGAGGACGGGTCAACCATGCAATTAAGGTGTCTCTTTGCCGCCAGAAATTCCGTCCTAGATCTTGATTTAACGTGTGCCCTAGATCTTGAACAAGATTCCCATTTCTCATCGACCAAGATCTTGATTTAATGCACACCCTAGATTGCCCAACATGCACCCCACGTAATCCCATCAGCAATGGCATATGCACCGGCATCTAGAGGGACATTTCCTAAAGCTTTAACGCACAAATCAAAATCACCAAATACCATCATCAAACCTGTAAATGATCCCAAATTTGCCTTTGCTTCTAGACCAGAGATTATATGTCAAACTCTCCATCTCATGGTTATTAGATCCCAGACCCTCTTCCGAGTCGTCGCCCATCACGAAGACAGGAATGACTTTGGCCGTACCGAGCCTCTTTACTATCAAGAACTGTTCTTGCACCCTCAATAAATTTTGACAGTTGGGAGTGTTGAAAAAAATACCCCGCGCTTGGCCTTATTTACTTCTCCCGAATGTCGCGGCTTCTGCATCAAATGCTGATCACACTCCCCATTGAACCCTGCCTGCGTGTGACCCCTTTCTCTGGAGCTCTCTTTACGGACCGGTCTCTCGTTCGCAGCTTGTTCCGAGCTTAATGGATGCAATGCGCGGGCTCCTCCTCACGGCTCTTCTCGTTCTTGCAGCTGCCACTGATGGCGCTCGAGGAGATGCCATGGTCACGGGCACTGTCTTCTGTGACCAGTGCAAGGATGGTCAGAGATCCTTCTTTGATTACCCGATTTATGGTAAGTTGAACGCTAGAGGCTCACGACTTTTTCTTATTCACTCATATGGATTGATTCTTGGAGTTAGGAGTGGACGCTAATAAAAAATCTTGGGCAAAGTAAATGCAATGTACATGTGCCAACCTTCTCCTTAGTCATTTCTAGATCTTGTTCAGCATCATCAGTTGGTATCAGATAGCGACGGGGTTTACATTTATTGGGCTTCTAGAAAAAAATTTAAAGAATCCTGGGTGCTTGAATAATGTGTGTATGTGTGTAGCTCCATTAGTGATATGCTTGTCCTAACTTGGAGGGAAAAACTGAAGAGAGCCGATCCTAGATGCAATCCATGGTGGATTCAGAGCTCGTGCTTTGTGTTGTGCAGGAATTAAGGTTACGGTGGTGTGCACCAATAGCGACGGCCAAGTCACGATGTCGAGAGAAGAGACCACCAGCTGGTTTGGGAACTACGCCATGAGGTTCGATGGGACTCCCGACCTGAGCACTTGCCATGCACAAGTGATGGGAGGGAGCGATCAGGGGTCTGTGGGATGTTCAGCATCGGCCGGTCCTGCGCAGAGCCTTAGGCTCATGTTCCAGATGTTCGACATGGAGTTCTATTCGGTGGACTCCTTGCTCTCTCAGCCCGCGAAGCCCATGTCCTTCTGTCCACAGTCTCCTGCACCGGTCACGCCGGCCTTGCCGTCGCCGGTGGCCGTGCCATCGCCAACAGCCGTGCCATCGCCAACAGCCGTGCCATCGCCAACAGCCGTGCCATCGCCGACGGCTGTGCCATCGCCAACAGCCGTGCCATCACCGACGCCAGCCTTCAAGCTCCCTCCCATGCCCCCACTGCCGCCAGCCTTCAAGCTCCCTCCCATGCCCCCACTGCCGCCAGCCCCTTTCGTGGAAGCTTCGGCTTGCCCACATGAGTAAGTTTGATCCAAAGATGCTTCTTTTTCTCTTGATGGTCAGGACTCTCCGTGAGGAGATTAATCTGTCTAGCATTTACAATAATATATGTTAATACAGGAAACGGCATCCTCTTGAAATGTGCACTATTATTCCTCAAATGGACCATAGAATGCCTTTCTACAATAATTCTCGCCCATACTGTAATCGGATGACTAAAAAGCTAGTGAGATTAGGCATTAAATGGGAGTGTTGGAAGCACATTTGCACTTATTTACTACTGTTTCAGTTGGCGTTGAAGTTAGACGACACTAGAAGCATATTCTTGTAGCGAGGATTCATACATGGCTACAAAGTCGTGTAGCCCTCCCTCTTTTCTGTGATTCCCCAATCAAGGCCATTACGATGCCAAATTTTAGGTACAGTCACAAGGGACTTCACGAGCTAAATCAGCTACTCCTCATGTTCTATCTTTAGTCATCCTAAAGGAACATTATGTGAGGATAAGATGAGATGTTGATTCACATCAAGAGAAAATGAAAAGTCCAGTTTCAGTCTCTTCTAATCAAGCCAGAGCAAAGACTCTCCTGAAACCACTGTTGTCTGGAAATGCAATCCTAGGCAGACAATAGCTACTTCAGAGAGAAGATTCGTACTATGTTACATCGAGGTACACTTTGCTCATAAATAGGATGAGAGGTTAGATAGATATAGGAACGGGGGTGCGTTATGTATGTCGAGACCCTTGTATTCACGGGATCCACTATCCAAAGGCCTCGTAATCCAATTACTGACTCTGTGAGTCTCTTACATCTCAGAAAATGGATGATGCCGGAATACAGATGTTACTGGAGGGCGGTCAACCCTGACACCAAGGTGGCTCTGGTCTTCGGCTTAATGGTGGCTCGAAGGTATGGCACTGATCTGACGCTGTGGCAGGGCCTCCAGGGCCGGGGCGACCCGTACAGGACCCTCCTGAGGGAGAGTACCGCCGCGCTCCTCAACTCCTACAACAGCATTCAGTTCCCTTATCACACCCTTGGCGTGATCCAGCACATGAACTGGGCCCTGATGGGCTCGACGCAGAATGTCCTCCGCACAGCGCTGCGCTTCAGGAGGGCTAACTCTGGTTATGGCACCACCACCTGCAGATTCACCCCTTGCAAGTGATCACAATATATCCATCCAAGGTTATATGGATAGGATTTGGATATTACCTAGCTGAGATCTTATTAGACACTTAAAATATTTTGCAGGGCTATTTTATGCCTGTGCTACTATGCCACTCTTCTCTATGCTCTGTGCCAGCGGAGATTTCCGTACTCTAATGTATTGGTAATTTTCTGGTTTGGAGCAAATAAGAGTCATTCTGGACCACCTTTCGTAGTTCACATATTTATTAGAAATGGATCATCTTTGAAGTCGAATTTGTGCCTGCACTTTTCTCTCCTTTTATTTTGTGAAATAAAAGTCCAGGATTAAGCACTGTGATGATGAGTGTAATGCAGATGCGGTACCATCCCCATGGACTAATCTTACTTTACCTTAAACTTTGTATACACACGAACTCCTACATCTCATTGTGTTGACTGGGTCCACCTTATGTGGGGCCCAGTTAATACTTAAACAAAAAAATAAACAAAACAAAAGAAAGTCAAAAAGTGAAAAAAGAAAGAACAAAAGAGGGGCTGCTTCGTGTGTGTGCGTGTGCGCCCAAGTGAGAAGGAGAGAGAAAAACAGAAAGTGACTTTACCGAGAGCTCACCGAGAGTGCAGGGGAAGAAAAGAAAAAAAAAAGAGCGCATTTTCGCGGTCCGATTTCGAAGGTCAAACGTTGTCGGAATTGGCTCAAATTTTAGTATATTGTTCGTGAGACCGGGGGCTACGAGTTGATCGGTTTCGTTCGTTGAGAATCTCCTCCGAACTCTCCATTCACGGTTAGGATTTTCTTCTCTGTTTTATGTAAATCCACCTTCGCGGTGATGAAAATAATGTTGTAATGCTGATGTTGTGCCTCTAGTGTGTGACTAGAGAAGAACTTGGTGTATCCTACTATTCTTGATGATTAGTGGAAGTTTTTGGAGCGGTCCGTGATTTTTCCCGCTTTGGGTTTTCACGTTAAATATTGGTGTGGATTGTTGCATTTGTTTCCTTATAATTGCGAGCTTACACTACAAAAAAACAAGAGTTTTCCAACGAAATTTCCAACGAAAAATTCGTCAAAATTCGTTGGAAAACGAATTTCCAACGAATTTTGCGACGAAAAAAAATTCGTTGGTAATTAGTCGTCGCAAAATTTTCCGACAAAAAATTTAAATTTTCGTTGGTAATTTCCAACGAAATTCTTTCGTTGGAAAAAATTCGTTGGAAAAATTCGTTGGAAAAATTCGTGGGAAAAATTCGTTGGAAAATTCGTTGGAAAATTCGTTGGTAATTTCCAACGAAAATAGTGACGAAAAAAAATTTCAATTTTCGTTGGTAATTTCCGACGAAAATTAATTCGTGGCAAATTTCGTCGCTAAATATCGTTGGAAAAATTCGTTGCAAAATATTCGTTGCAAAAATCGTCGGAAATCCGCTAAATTTTCCGACAAAAAAATATAATTCTCGTTGGTAATTTCCGACGAAAAACAACTTCGTTGGAAATCCCGAATTTTTCGGAAAACAATTTTTTTTTTTACTTTCCAACGAAAAAAAGATTCGTTGGAAATCGCGAATTTTTGCGAAAAATAATTTTCGGTGATAATTTCCAACGAAAAAAAAAATTCGTTGGAAATCCCGCATTTTTCTGACAAAAAAATTTCGTTGGTAATTTCCGACGAAAAAAAATTCGTTGGAAATCCCTCATATTTCGGCCAAGAAATTACAATTTTCGTTTTTAATTTCCAACGAAAAAAAAACTTCGTTGGAAAACCCGAATTTTTCCGACAAAAAAAATTGTCGTTGGTAATTTCCGACGAAAAAAAAAATCGTTGGAAATCTCGAATTTTTCCGACAAACGAATTTTCGTTGGTAATTTCCGACAAAAATAAAATGCGTTGGAAATCCCGAATATTTCCCACAATAAATTACAATTTTCGTTGTTAATTTCCGACGAAAAAAAAATTCGTTGGAAATGTGGGATTTTTCCGACAAAAATTTTTCGTTGTTAATTTCCAACGAAAAAAAAATTCGTTGGAAATTTCGAATATTTCCCACACAAAATTACAATTTTCGTTTTGAATTTCCAACGAAAAACAAATTCGTTGGAAATTGCGAACTTTTCCGACAAACAATTTTCGTTGGTAATTTCCGACGAAAAAAAAATTCGTTGGAAATCGGGAATTTTTCTCAAAAACAATTTTCGTGTTAATTTCCAACGAAAAAAAAATTCGTTGGAAATCTCGAATTTTTCCGACAAACGAATTTTCGTTGGTAATTTCCGACAAAAATAAAATTCGTTGGAAATCCCGAATATTTCCCACAATAAATTACAATTTTCGTTGTTAATTTCCGACGAAAAAAAAAAATCGTTGGAAATGTGGGATTTTTCCGACAAAAATTTTTCCTTGTTAATTTCCAACGAAAAAAAAATTCGTTGGAAATCGCAATTTTTTCCGACAAAAAATTGCAAGTTTCGTTGGTAATTTCCGACGAAAATTTAATTCGTTGGAAAAATAATATATAAATTGTTTTTTTTTTCCAACGAAAAAAATATATAAATTCATCCTTATTCGTTGCAAAAAAATCGTGGAAAATCCGCGAAATTTTCATCCAAAAAGTTAAAATTTTCGTTGGTAATTTCCAACGAAAACAACATTTGTGGGAAAATACGTTGCAAAATTTGACGCTAATTATTCGATGCAAAAATCGTTGGAAATTCGATTTTTTTCCATCAAAAAAATTCAATTTTCGTTGGTAATTTGCAACGAAAGCTATTCGTGACAAAATTCGTCGCTAAGTTTGCGACGAATTTTATTTAGCGATAATTTCGATTTTAAATCTAATTATTATCAATATTAATTTTTTTTTGGTAAGAAAGCAATAGTAATTTCTACAATGCATAAGTTGCAAAGTCTCATATGATGATATTCGATTTTCAATCTCATAATACGAAGAGGCAGCTAAGCACTAATGAACATAAGGTAATACATTCAAAACATTGAAAGAACGCGGGACAACCATAAAAACGTTGGCAGTTTTGGTACTCGAGAATGAACTAGGAAGGACTGACAATAAAATCATCAGCATCATCATCATCACCATCACCATTCGCCGCATCATTTTGTGGCTCAGCATTATGCCCATCATCAATTGGATTAATATGAGGTAGAGGAGGAACCTCATTGCGATCGATGTCGAGATGTCGCATGACAATTTGCAGTTGTTGTTGCATCACCCTTATTTGTTCGTCCTTCTGTCCAAGTAAATACTTCGTTTCTTCGTCCTTCTGTACAAGCAACTGCTTCAGTTGGCTCAATTCTTGGGTTATCTGCTCCTCACGTTGTGTCCTCCTTGAAACAGCTGCATTGGAGGACGAAGTTGCACCAACCTTCGATTTGTACATCCTTGACAAGGATCCCATCCCAAATATTTTTCCTCCTTTCATCCCACCCGCTGCCTCCACCCATAATGCCATACTGTCAACCGATGGCTCAGACACAGCACGACCATCACCACCATCACCACCACCATCACCACCATCACCACCACCACCATCACCACCATCACCACCAGCAATGCTCATTAAAAGTTCATCATATTTTTCCTATATTAACATTATAGATGGAAATAAAATAAATTCATATATATTACCATAAATATTAAAACATTCATGATTTTCATTCTAGTTTCCTATAAGTCCGAACTATAACCTTACATACCTTAGTAGCTTTTGCTCGAGCGCCAGTCCATGTCTTATCTTTTTTTTTTGGAATGTGCGTTCAAATGTAGCTGTAAAAGTGGGTTCCGTCCCCAATTCATCTGCCTACAAAATATAAACATAAATGACTAATCATTACATTAAATGCACTGACATGTATAAACAGACTTACCATTCTTCTTTTATGCTCCCCGATGCTGATAGAGCCCCCAGCATATGTGGCAGACGCAGACCCGTCACTAGAACTAGAAGCTCGATTCTTCTTGTTCTGTTCACACCTTAGCTTATACTTCTCAGTTTCCCAAGTTCTTGTAATTTCCATCCAATTGTCAGTTGTAAAAAAGGTCGGCTTTTCATTTTTTCTCTTTGCTCTATTTATCACATATCGCATGTGATCACCGATTTTCTTCTTGAAAATTCTTTTAACCTCATCCTCTTCCATTTCATCCCACGTGAACTTACGCTACAATTAATAGAAAAACAACTGAAAATTATCCACTAGGGTCACATGTCACATATCCATTACAATGTACCAGACAATTCGTGACAAAATTCATTATTGACCATCAATATGCTACACCGAACTTAGTTTGTGAAGGAAGACAACACTAACCTTAAACTCATTCCACCACAAAGTCTTTAGTTCTGCGGGAGCGCTGCTAAAAGTAATAAACTGGCCCATCCAACAGTTATTGACTATTTTATTCAGTTCCCTCACAACATGCGTAGAATCCGTGAATCTGAAAACATGTTATAACAATACGGACAATGAGACAATGAAGCATATGGATAATTCGCAACACGAACAATTTTATTTACATCGATAATTTATATATACGTAAAAAAATGAAGTACTTACGAATCTCCACATGGGCATATAATGAATCGGGTATCTTCTTCATCATTCGAGTGTTGCACTGAAGAAGAAAGTGGAACCGAAGGAGATCGAATCGGAGATGGAACTGAAGTAAATTCAGTTCGCATGTCCCGAGGTTCTACCCTAATATGTTGTTGAGGGTCGAAGGATGGGCCAATGTGTTCGTGTTGTCCATGAACATGTTGTGGTTGAGGGTTACATAAATGGGCGGGGAAGAGGACGGGGTCGGGGACGAGGACGAGCCAGCGGAAGGGGCTAATCTTCTTTGCGAACCCGAACCACGCAGGAGACCTCCACGTTTAAACTGACAAGTAGGAAGGTTAGACAAATATATTTAAAAATATGAACATATATTAGGGACTGAAAATGACATTAGCCATTTTGCTTACCATTTTGTTTAATAGAGCAATAAATAAACTCGACAAAATGAAACAAACCGACTATCGCCTCTGATAAATAGCAATCTTTGGTCCACGTTGAAACAACCTATTAAAATTTGGACCACATCAGATTCCACGAAAAATAAAATGAAGCATATTAAATGTGCAGAACGAATTACAACAAGTATCAACTCTGATGCCACATTTATGCAAATTTATGCCCCAAATATGTTATTTCGCACAATTCTAGTACAGACCTAAAAAAAAGATCACAAATTACGTTCAATAAGTAAATTTGCCACAAATGCAA